CTGGCTGCAATTTAAATCCCATTAACCCCCTCACCTTCTCTCAGCCTCCCACTCTTCTTTTCTCCTTATTTTTCTTTTTTTTCTCCAATAATTCACTTAGGATAATCTTTCTCTCCCTTTTCAACTTCACATCCAGATTTGATGTGTAATGTTACCCTCACTCCTTCTTTCACTACACTATAAATCTTCCTTGGCGACACTGTCAAGATGCCGGCATGTTTTTCCTGTGACAGCAAATACCTCCTTTACAGGATATGAGCCGTGCAGTGAGAACACACTCGATCTTTAAAACCAAGCACACATACATACAAAACTAGCAGCATATCAACAGACAAAAACACAAGCCACAGCACAAGACGTAACACACACACACACACACACACACACACACACACACACACACACACACACACACACACACACACACACACACACACACACACACACACACACACACACCACACACACACACACACACACACACACACACACACACACACACACACACACACACACACACACACACACACACACACACACACACACACACACACACACACACACACACACACACACACACACACACACACACACACACACACACACAGCGACTGAATGATTGAACTCAGTCACAGAAACCTGTCTCCGCTCGTCTAACAGGTCAACAATAATCATCCACTCAAAACAGTCAGACCACCATACAAAAATAAACACCCTGTGAGGATACAGACACACACACACACATATACATATGGGTGTTTAGGAGAAGTAGAGGCTTAATATGTTTGTGTTCCGAATCTGCGTAGAATTATGAAGTATTTATCTTTGCAAGGCTTGACTAATGGTTCATTGATTTGCTCTTTCAGTCCCTTATGTTCTTGTACAAGCAGAAGACACACTGTTAATGACTATGGAGGCTGTTGATTTAGCTATACGCCTTAATTATACACATCTATATCAAAGGAATGCAATCAATCCCAATAATTGCAACAACACAGTTATGCAGCCCTGGATCAGTTTACGCAGGGCCTAAGAAATGAACCATATCATAATTTCACCATATTTTTGTTCAAGACCACAATACGCAGTTAAGATTGATCTGTTACTAGAAAGCATACACAATTAACTGCTTCTACAATTACATTGAAAGATCATTTTCTACTATTAATATTTATTGATAATGGGGTTTAAGAGTTCGCCTTCACCTTACTTTACTTGCACAGCTGATTATTTTATCTTCATATGCAGAATATTCTGACAGTGAAATGACTTTAAAATGGAGTGAAAACCAGTATATCCATAACAATTTCAAACTATCACATTTATTATACCTCCTTAAAGGACAAGTTCACATTTTTCAACATTACCCACACATGCCTATTAGTATATTAACAAGTGCTATCGGCTGTTTCGCCTTCCCATATTGTTCTTTTAGTTTAACTGAATATAAGACTTCAGCAGTCTGACTTGAGCAGTGTCTTACAGTTTTTTTATTACAAAATACTTTCACAGAAAAAGTATTGAGCTGCAGCAGGGGGATAGTAAAATAAAAAGTGAGTTCCTATTGAAAGATGGTTACTTTGGGAGCACACTTTACTGTTTTGACACATGGTACACCATGAGTCAGCGTTAAACTACTTCCACGGCTCTGCATCAGTTTGATAAACAACACACTCATCTTTATGTGCAGAGTGTAGAAATGAGGCACAAAGAGATTTATTTTAAATATAGCCTTCATTGTGTTGCTTAAAAAGCACCTCAGAAGAACAAATGCAATATCTCCCATCTAGGCTATCCTGATCCCATAAAATACACAACTACGTGAATGCAACAGTTTGAGCAACAACAAAGCCACTGACATCTGTTTTACGGAGAGTGCAAGTGAAAGATCTTCTGACCAGCAGCCCCTCCCCAGACGGCGGCTGGTGATCTATACTTAAACGCCTGTCAAAGGTCATGTTCAACATACTAATTAAACACAGGGCAGCAGAACAGAGAACATGATAACCACCCATCACTTCTGTGTGTGTGTGTGTGTGTGTGTGTGTGTGTGTGTGTGTGTGTGTGTGTGTGTGTGTGTGTGTGTGTGTGTGTATACATAATACATGCAGGGAAAACAGACAGCACAGCAATCCACCCTTTTTCACAGAATAAGAATATGGAGTGCGCAATAATGTTTACACCGTATCGAGCAGTATAATGGGGAAAGATCCGATCTCATACTAGTCTTCATCAAACATTTAATTTGTCACTGTGTTTTGGTCTTGGTATTGACTCTGAATTTGGAATATTAAACAGAAAAAAGTATTTGAACTGGGGTATTTGTCACTTTTTTTAATGACATATTAAAATCTCTGTAACAATGCCTGAAGGAAGGGGGATGCTGACTGACCTATAGTGTAAACACACTTTCTCTTGACCTGGAAACTCTCTAACCGTGTGCACACAACCTATGCTCTGACTGAGTTATTGCAGAAAAGGTGTACTTAAAAATACATTTTAGTTGTAAAAACATTTAAAAGACAACTTTAAAAGAATTTCCTGATAATCTCTAAGATCCAGTCTGAAGTCACGGATACAGCTCCAGCCGGCATCTTTCTTAAGCCTTCGTATCAAATGCTTTGAGGCTCAAAAGAACGTATGATATTTGACCGGAGTTTATTCATTTGTCCGGAAATTGAAAGCTTCCAAGATACCTGGAACGCCACCAATTGTTTCTAAAGGAAAACTATCCTTGGTGTGCAGCTTTGTGTAACATGATAAACTACAATCAAAAAACAATAGAATACAAAGGAATAGAAAAGGAAAGAACAATTAGGGTATGTTTATCTTTGTACTGTCCCTTCCACCAGGCACACACAGTGCAGGGGAACCAGATGGGCCCTCCCTCTTGACAGCCCAAACCCCAGTGATGACAGAACCTCTCAAGTATACAGCGTGACATTAGAGGACAAAGCACCTGTTGCCGAGCAGCACTTTCACACCTCCCCTTCCTCACAGAAACACACACTGGCACTCTCTCAGCCATGAGGTCACTGTCTCACCCAGGCCAAAACTGGCTGTGCCACCTGCAACCATACCAGTCCAAAATGATCACTCGAAACCTAGCCTGCCCAGACCCCCCTCTCACCCGCCCACTCTTCAATGCGTAAATCTTGACAGGCAGAAAGAGCTGGTCCCAAAATTATACTCTTTATCACGAGTATTCCCTCACATACTTATTGTATAACAAATACTGAAGTCTGGAGACCATAAGAGTATCCGCCACTCAAATGCTTCTTTAAAAAGACAGAAAAGACGTTAGGTAGACAACTCAAGACAGCTGGTGTGAGTGTGCAGCGACTGAGGTTGCTGCTCAGGGTGAATGGCATTCACAGATGTTTTTACATGTCCTGCATGGCTGGACAGTTAGTGTCTGTTTGCATGAGAGAGCTGTTCACAGAGACAATTGTCTGTCTATGCTCCTCATCAACACATCATCATCCTCGTTTGCCCTGCACTTGTCCCAGATATAACCCAAAACACTTCTTTTTTTTACTATAGGAAAAGAAGGGTTGAGAACGACAGGGATTGTATGTGTGTTGTTGAAAGAAGAGTGAGAAGAAACCAACATTTGGATACAGAAAAAAGCAAGAAAGTTAATGATGACAGAATGATCTCTCTTCAGAGCAAGTGTGTAAATGTACTGTTCACTGAGCTGACCCATCTGGACCACCTATGCAAGTATCTTTACTCATCAGAATCACTTATTCTAATGATGACATGTTGTATTTTCTCAAGAATATGAATGAGAACCATTCAAATGGATGTAAAGTATGAAGTCTTGAAACACACATCACTGCCACTGCATATGTTTTGACATGAAAAGGGAAAGCAATGAAAGTCATGTTTCTTATTGGAGTCTTAATCTTAGTATCATGGGTATTTCCCTCCCAAATCTTACAATGGAATCATGAATAAGGCAATAGATAAATAGGCATGTGTTCTAAACTTTATATTGATAAAGATCAAAATAATATTATATTGAGATTAATATTACAAACATAAAAACTTAAAACTGAACACTTGATAAAGCTGATGTATTTGAAGGAAATTAAGTGTATACATGCTAATATAACGAATTAGCAGACCATTATTTTGCATAAGTGTTATGATTATTGTCATCACAATAAGTATTGTATGGGAACTCTAGATTTGCTTTAAACAAACTTCATTGAAAGTATTCTTTAAGATCTTCAACATGCTCAAACCAAAACAAACTGTTCAGCACGGGGTGGGACATACTCAGTCATGCTTACCAAAATAAACACACTCACACACACATGGACACAGCAAACACACGGCTGGCCTTGGCAGTCAGATCCCCATCGTTTTCCTCTGGTGTTGATAGAAGTAAGTTTTGATAAAAGTGTTTGTCTCATCATCATTGTTCAGCCAAGTTGTGTCATCCACCCCAACTAAGCGTTTCATTTTCAAGCCACACACACACACACACACACACACACACACACACACACACACACACACACACACACACACACACACACACACACACACACACACACACACACACACACACACACACACACACACACACACACACACACACACACACACACACACACACACACACACACACACACACACACACACCTGTTTGAGGCCTATTCTTCTGCAAAAAAAGGCTATACTCCATGGCACGATAAGCAGTTTCAAAGATATTAATGCATTCAGCCGAAATGTTTATGTAAAACAGTCAAAAGCACCATCTGCATCACAGTGATTTTCAATTCTTTATCACAGATATTCCACTATGCAAAGTGTTAAACTCATCCCTTGCCATGTGACTCAGAGGTCATATCAGGGCAAACACAGTCTGCGCTGCACTGTGGGAATGCAGAGGGGATTAAAAGGTGATGGGAGACTTTAACCAAGCTTGTCATTGCATTTAGACACATTTGAGGACAATTGGAAAAAAGAAACCTTTAGCATGTGCTTACCTTATGTCTAGTCTGTAGCAAGGCTGATTCTGGTTCTTTCTTCTCCCCGTCTGAAGATCCATGTCCAAGCCTATCCCTGTCCTGCTGCATGCTCTGTCCCACCTGCACCATGGCCTTACATTCCACACATGCGCCAATCACCAACCTCCTCCCATCATCCACCAGGAGCGTGCGTGTGCTGCGAGGTGCGTACAGGAAGACAGGTAGCCTGGCCACAGTGACAGCGCACAGCCTACCCTTCCTGTGCTGCTCCTTCCTGCAGAAGAAACACACAAAAGCCTCACAGCTGTACTGGCGTGCCCATGGGGAGCTCGGAGGTTGCTGGTTGGCACTGGATAAACTAGAGGTAGAAGGGGTGGAGGGACCCTGGCCCTTACTCTCATGTTGGGCCCACTGGGAGTGTAGGTCATGATAGCAGAGATTACAAGCTGACACCAGGCCTGTGGCGTCAACTGGCTTGGCCCGTGGTGCAGGAGGATGGACTGTGAGGAAGGGGAAGAAAGGCTCGCTCTCCCCACAACGCCCAGGCGGGTTGACATGGAGCTGGTACTCTCCACCTGCGCAGAGCTCGCCTCCACACAGGTAACACACTGACATGGAGCTGCAGGGGCGAGAGGCCACAGCTGTCTGGGAATGGGCCGGTCCAGAGCCCTCAATTGCCATGGCAGCGTGGTACCTGACTAGGAAGGAGCTGACAGACGTGATGAGGTCTTCACTGAGGCTGAGTCGATATGCCCCCCAGATCTCTTCCAGGATAAAATGGCACTGTGGGCAACAGTGCACACGGCCATTCCTCACCCCCTGGGCATTAGGTGGGCAAGGCAACATGTTGATGAAAGGAAAATACATTGCACCCCGGGATTTGCCAACACCAGCCTGTGCATATGCCACCCTCATATCTCCTGCACAGTCCTGACCACAGAGGAAACAGGCCTCGTGGGAAGCCATGGGTTCATTATTACACTCTATGGACTCTGAGGAAGTTGGTTGGGAAGGCTGGAGAGAACTGGTGTCGTGGTTGAGGGGGACTACATACAAACGTTGAAGGACAGGCACATCCGCCAGCTGGAAGCTCTGCCACTGCTGCATGAGAGAAGTGTGACAGCTGCCACACACCAAGGTTGTACCCGCTGGACTGATGGGTACTGCACCCCGGGGAGGGGAGTGAAGCCACAGGAAGGGGAAGAAGGGCTCGCCCTGTGCCCTCTCCTGTTTCTGAACACTGACTTTGAAACGGCCATCATGTCTGAGCCCAGTGCCACAGACAAAGCACACACACTCCTCTGCACAGGTGTCCACAGTGGGGTGAGACTTTCTTACTGAAAGGTTTCTGACATGTCTAAACTTTGCTGTAGTGCTTGTCTTTCTCTCATACATGTCTACATCATCATCACTTGTAATGTTAATCTCATCTTCATCAGAGCTGTCAGAGGTATTCTTCCTGGGAACAGCCATGTTACATTTAGTGGTGACAGCAGTGGTGCCAACTGATGACAGAGCAGTGTCGGGGTGATCCTCTGTCCTTCCTCGGTACAGCAGGGATGTATGTCTGGACGAGGCACAGCTGCTGTCGACAACACGCTGATTCTGACGCGGCTCTGCATGTCTGACATTCCCCTCCTCAAGCCATCGCCTGTTGCGCATAATGACCCCGTTGTCTTGCACAGGTGTGTCAGTGAAGGGACTGTCATAGCATCGCTGAGGGAATCTCTCCTGGGATTTAGCCAGGGATTCTGATGATTGACAGACATTATTTATAATTTTAGCACCGCGCCTCGCCGGCAGAACACTCTCCGCTTGTGGCGATCCCTGCGCCCCATAAACACCCACCGGGTAGCGCATTGCCCGCTGTGAATCTGGACTGTTTTTAACACTGATGACATTGTTCTTCTTGTTACTGTCTCTTGGCGATTTGCCAGATGCTGTCATGCACTTGTCTTTGCTCATACTGGCTCTGTCGACTAAATCCATCTCCTGGTCTGACATGTTCTCGTTGTCAGAAAAAGAAGAGAAATCAGAGTCTGCGCCCCCACTGATTCTCCTCTCCAGATCATAGGAAAGGTTCCACTCCTGTGGGACCCGACGAGAGTCGCACTGATAGGGTCGTTTCAGCCAGTACATGCGCTTCTCAATGGGCGTCCTGCTCCGCTCGAAAGAGTTCCACTGCTCGGACAGAAAAAAGTGGCACACAGCGCAAACCAGCGTATGTCCATCCGGGCTCAGTTCACACGCACCCGGGGCTGGCTCCTGATTTTGTAGGAAAGGGAAAAACGGAAGCCTCTCTTTTTGATATGTCACTTGTAGCCTCAATTCCTTCCCTGGCGTAACTCCGCTTCCACATATAAAACAGTGAACCAGTCCCCCTAATCCATTCCGGTCAGTCATGGAAGTGTTGCCGGGCAATAGGCTGTCCTCCTCGGGCATAGCTGCAGCCATGAGTCGGTGTTTGCGAGATAAGGCTGCCAGTTCGATGTCACAGGGGGAGTTCATCGTTTTTAAACATCAAAGACGCTACATGACAAGACGTCAACAGTCAAGTTATGCTCATGATTAACACTTATCTGCAGCTCAGTAAACCATAATCAAAGTTACTCACTGGGTGATAAGATACACGATAGTCCATTGAAACGACAGCATGCAGCGAAAGCAGCAAACCGTTTGTCTCTCATGGACACCGCCGAAAAAGTAAAAACAGTCCAGGCTAATTGAAGTCTGTAATCCGGATGTTTGCACTTTAAATCCGTAGGTATATGATTTGGGATCACGGGTCGCTTCTCCAGCGAACTTTCTGCCTGCGCGCAGCAAACTTTGGCTGCGGACTCGCTCACACTGTACAGAGCGCCATCCCCGATTCATGGGACCCGCTTCGACACCCCAAAGACAACCTCCACCCCCTGCCAGCCCCCAGTAATAATTTTACAGAGATTATGAGCACACACTCCCGCATTAGCTGCCCATTCTTCTAAGTGCAGGATTTCCACTGTATAACAGGGGCGTGAATTGGATAAACAGACTCCCAGCAGCATGCATGTTACCAACTGCAAGCAAACATTTGTGACTCATTAGCCTGTGTCAATTAATACTAGACACTTTAGGACGACTGTTAATGAGTTTTCGCACACTTTAAAAAAAGTTTTACATATTTCTGGTTATTTTAGTTTTGAACACAGTGTCAAGCCACATGAGACACAGATATTGATGCAACACATTTACAAAGCCTACAGAGCTCTGTTTTGAGTTAACAGTTAAGTCATTTCATCAAATAGGAATAAAAAAAAAAACACAAAATATTCAATTGCGTAAATACTTACCCACACTGAAAACTCATGTCATAACTTGTGCGGGCAGCTGTATTTTGATGTGTGTTATTGATGACAGGTCAAAGTTCAACCTTAGTCAGTTTCCTGGCATGAGTACAAAATATCATTCCCAAACATCAAAAGCTCTTTTTTTTTAAGTAACTTCAGAAAATGGATACAAGAACATTTAAAAGCACTGAATATCCAACCAAGTACTTGGGTCAGTCTCTTAAAAAGTGGTCTGATAATAGGGCCCAGCTGTACATCAGAGCAGGCTTTCCTTAACGGAGTGTCTGTGAGAAAAGGGAGAATGCCAATAAGAGCTGAAGGAGCTTCTTTATCGTTGGGTTGGGAGAGACAGTTCTCCAGGGGCTTCACAATTTGAAACGAGAAATCCACTTTTGAGAGAAATCTATGAATTTCTCTGGCCTTAGAAAACTAAAACTGGCATTTTTGGCAGCTTATTTAATATTTAGGACAATCGCAGCACGTCAGCAGAAACAATGCAACACATTCAGAGAAATCTATGTATCTATGTATGTATGTATGTATGTATGTATGTATGTATGTATGTATGTATGTATGTATGTATGTATGTATGTATGTATGTATGTATGTATCCATCCATCTATCTATCTATCTATCTATCTATCTATCTATCTATCTATCTATCTATCTATCTATCTATCTATCTATCTATCTATCTATCTATCTATCTATCTATCTATCTATCTATCTATCTATCTATCTATCTATCTATCTATCTATCTATCTATCTATCTATCTATCTATCTGGCAGCATGTTGGTCTGTTTTTGTGTGTTATGATGTTCAGAATCGGGTCTTTAAGGAAGGTGAGAAAGAGAGGCATGTAAAGAAAGGCTGACAACACAGTGGATATCCTCCTCACGCCATGCCTCATACTTCCCTCCTATTGCCGAACTCCAATATCTTTGACCAAGACAAGACAGCGAGTTGAGTAATCAACCCTTAAACATTTACGTCATCTAACCATAACACGCATAAACATTTATGTCTGTCCGCTCCACTGTGTGTGGCCCCTGGCCTCCTCTACTGTCTAGTGACTCAATGATGTTAGAGAGTCAGGGACTACCTCTACCTTAATACCTCTGCATTTCACCCTGATACCCTCTTCATCATCACTATGTACCCTGAAGACAAATTACATTTCCTCTTCAGCCTTCCAACCTAGAACTTAAAAAGGTTTATTTTAAATGACACTGCCAAGTTTCACTTTTACTTCTTGCACCCCCAAGATTCTCTTCAGCATGGCAACCAAGAAAGATCACAAAAAAAGACATTCCTGAGTGATGCTGACTTGTTTCTACTGACAATTGCTACAGAAAAAATTAGAAGTGGGGGAGGGGGAGTAAATATACAGTATATGTTTTATACTAGTTATTCTAATTAACATATCCATAGTGCATATTCTAAGAACCTGTCAAAGACATACACAAAACATAGGAAAAAGCACTGATGATGTCCAGCTAAAAGTTTCAACACTGACACGTGGTGTTCAATCTTAGTACTGCATAATTTGGGAGATCCCCATATGCACCAGTCAGACTGCATGGGGCTCATGTGGGCATATCACAGTCAGGCAGAAGAAAGAATGAAGGAGAGCAAGCAAGCAAATGCTATTAGGGGAAAGAAAACTAGAGAAAGCTGTAGCTAAAAATAATCATATTTATTTTCCCCTCTCCTTCTTTTATTTGTCTTACTTTCTCAGTGCAGTGGTTCTCTAAGAGCAATGCAAATCTGAGGTTCAGAAGGTGATAAGGTTGAAACAAATAAATAAAATATGTATTTTCCGCAAAACGTCTTCATCAATCTACAGATTCAAACCTTTTGTGAAATACTGGCTACTTTGACCTCTTACAGCCTCCACACTTCATAATATGGCCATCAGCTGTGATGTAGGACCCCTTAAAAAATAAAACATCACACTGTGACTGCTCATATGGTGTACATTATACTTACATGTACACTTTGTCTCTATGCACTTATGTGCATATATTTAGTATCAGAATCATTGCCTAGTACCTATAGAGGCAGGTCATACAATGTTCATTTTTCTGTTCATGTTAATTAAAAACTATAGCAACAAATATTACATTTCTATACTCACTTCAAGACCCACGATGCAAATCTTGTGCTTTACACCGTAACACATGGATATGGAGATTTTGACTTAATCTCTGAAACTGTGTTCAGTCCCTGGCAGATGCTTTAATGTGCATGTGTGTAATAATGATCTGTGTGTGCACATTCCCTGCTGCCGTTATGTAGGTCTCATGTGATTGAGATGACCGCAGTATTGCTCTTCATACTCTGTATGGAAATTGCTCTGCTCTGACAGACCCTCAGGCTGGGGAGAGTGGAAAGGGAGATGGGATTGAGGGGGGACTGGGATGTGTGTGTGTGTGTGTGTGTGTGTGTGTGTGTGTGTGTGTGTGTGTGTGTGTGTGTGTGTGTGGTGTGTGTGTGTGTGTGTGTGTGTGTGTGTGTGTGTGTGTGTGTGTGTGTGTGTGTGTGTGTGTGTGTGTGTGTGTGTGTGTGTGTGTGTGTGTGTGTGTGTGTGTGTGTGTGTGTGTGTGTGTGTGTGTGTGTGTGTGTGTTGAGATGGGGTTAGCGAGGGGAGAAAGTGGGAGGGTGATCTGAATAAAATCCTCTTGTTGAGTAGTGTAGACCCTCAAGGAGTTTTAAAACAAGGTGATGACAGGGGCAGGAAGAGGGCAAAGACACTACACTGTGTGTGAGTGTGTGTGGGTCTAGGTGTGTGTAATAGTAAGACGTCCCACCCAATGTCCTGCAGGCTGTCTGTTTCAATTTCCATAGACAATTGGAGGACAGTGGAGTGTCCTCAGCAGATTAAGCAATGTACTTCCTCCTGCCTCTTCTATTTTACAGCTCTGAGATATAACCCACCGCGCATCACATTCTTATTCTTTTTCATCAAAGGCACACAGCAGTCTTTTAAGTCTTATAAAATAGGCTGGAAATAAGTTGTGGAGCTGTGTCGTATTATTACTGGTGCTACCTTTAATAACTCTTAGCACCTGTTTCAAGTGAGGGTCATGTAACGTTCTTTACATGTTGAGTTCAGATGCTTCCATTGGGCGGAGGTTTAGACCCCCTCAAAGGTAGCGCTAATAGATACAGATAGCTCTTTCTCCCATCTGTTTTTGTTTTTTTAAACAAACTATAACTCCGGATGTCATGTCATTCCGTCTTCTCTGTCCATGATTTATGGTGACAGTGCAGGAGATATATGTGCTGTGTTGTATATGATGTGTTTTATGATATGAATGATGCATTGTTTGCTTTTGTAATTGATTATTGTCTTTAAAGCAAATTTCCCCTCTGGGACATTTTTAATCTTGAATTATATGCTGCATATGATGCATTGCTGGAAGCGTTGATTTCTGTATTAACTTTACCTTTGTCACACTCCCTGAACAAACTTGTGATCATAGCACCTAAGCATTTAAAAAAAAGAAATCCAGCATTTTTGTGTGTATGCATAAACAGCTCATTCACAGAAAATGCTCAAAGGTTTAGCCTGCGTATCATGTTTTCTGATACTTAAGGCTTGTGACAGATACTGCACGTCATAAATACACCTGATTCCTCCATAGGTAATATATTACCAACGGACTCTCTGTAGTCAAAGATCACCGTATGTGCATGTGCAGTGCAAGCATAAAGTATGTCATCCTTTATGTGTCTGGGCTTTCAAGGCCATCTGGGAGGAATTATTTGACCGTTGCACCAGAGGACTCCAAACTTAAGCACAGTGATCTCCTGGGATCTGAACATGTCAGTAGGTGTGAGAGAGAATATAGGTATAGTGTACTTATAAGAAAAAGTACTTTTTTCAAGCAGGGTGAGTGCAATTCCAGAGTTTTACCAAAGGAAAAAAAAAGTATTGGCTGTGTATAGCACAGAAGATTATTGTAAAAATCCTAAATATACATCAACAGAAGTGATATTGTGCAGAAGCACATTGTCAAAATGTAAAAATAATTTACAAAGCAAGGAAACCTAGACAGAGCTAAGATATAACAGCCTGCATGTATGCCAACAGCTATGATTAGGTTCAATACTAAAACACAACTAAGCAAGTAAGGCCCATATTTTGTTCTCAGAGACTACTCAGCAAAGCTAGCGTTAAGATATGTTCTTGGTGTTTATCTAAAACTCTTTTCTCAGATCAAATTGATTTTACGCCTCAGATTTATTAACAATGACAGGTACAGTAACACATCTCTGTGTCTCCAGCAGCCTCTAACCTCTGCTTCATTAACAGCTTAACAGCCCTTCCACTCTCCTGTTAATACAGCTTGATCTGCTCTTTCTGTCACATCTTCTGCTTCAAAAAAGTGCAT